CAGGTTCAGGACTGCCTTGTCTCACTAAAGGATCCTGAATAGAACAGGTAACTAACTCTCTTCCAGCAAACGTAATTCAGCATTTCCATTTACCTGCCAGAAAGGTATAAAGAACAGGGACAGGCCCTCTAAATTCTGGACCCTGTCTTGCAGACAGATCTTGCGATAGGACCACCACGAGGTACCATCTCCCTCCCACACCTCTCCATTGTGAAATGAACAGTTATTGCAAGTAGCAACAGGAGCTTTAAAAAAAAAAATGTTGGCCTTCTCCACCACATGCTTTTTTGGCATTCTCCTGTCCACTCTGTTTTATTATCCTACAAAATGATGATAAACCTATAGAAGATTTTAGACTAGTGAATGCCCGAAGGCAGAATTTCAGCAGGCCCTGGGAAACCCAGAAGACCCCTGTAGGAACCTACACTGGAAAAGAACCTCCATCCAGTTGTCCATCATGAGCCCAGGAGAGATAAAGGTAGAAATTGGTTAGAAGGCCGCCCTCCTTTATCTGGATAAATCTGGGTTTCTCTTCCATAATCCTTATGTGAAGACACAGACTCCCATAGTTCAAATGTTTCGAAACAGCAAGAAGACGTGAGCTGGAGACTGAGGCAAAAGTACATACTGTATTTATCATCGAACACAGCTCTTTATATAATTACATCCTTGTGCATTTTTTATTTTTGGTTCTTGAATAAAGTCACTCTGATGAAATTAAAGAGTATGCAGGAGAAGGTGCTTCTTTCCGTTTCTATGGCAACTCCAGGGCATCTTTTCCAGCTGCCTCATTGATTGAGCTTGTCCCACTGATACAGGCTGCCACTTTTAACTGACCCTGGGGACAGGCAGAGAGGAGTGCATGGGGGACATTAGGGCCACCACAGGAGCAGGGGAAGCAAACTTCCTGCGTGTTAATCCAACTTTCCCTCGTCTGTGGAAATGGTTGCCCTTGACAGTGCTTTTGCCAACAGTGTTCTTTTAGAGGTGTGTATACACTTGCCTTTGAACTTTCTTTGTTGGTAAATAGTAGTTTTATGAGCCTGTGGCTAAGTGTCTAATGCAGTGATTTATATATTTTAAGGGAAACTCTTACAGACTATTTAGTGAAACACTGTTTACAAAGGGAGCGTTGCTTCGCTGGAGATGGGGAAGTATTTGCGCAAAAATTTGACAAACAAAAGCGAAATGAAACTAACCAGCACAAGATTGGATGCGTTTGTTTGTTGCCAACACAAAGCCAGAGACTTGCCCCCAGGATGTCCTCCTGCCCTGGTGTCAGGACTAGGGAAGGCCGCAGGCAACACTGAGCTAATCTAAGCAAAGTGTGTGGATTTAAGGTGAAGATGCAAAAGACCAGTATCCATGGGAGCGCAGTTTTTACAAAATCAAATTAACGATTCCCAATAAGGTATTGTAAAAACATGTGACTCCTAGCAGAAAAAAAACATTTCATCAAATGAAGATTTCCGAATATGGAGGACAGAGCTGAGTCCCATGCAGTGCCTAAGATGGCGGGTCCTCTCCTAACGTGGTCAATTAGCTTCTCCGAAACTGTGGCTTTAATGAACTGATAAATAAGGAAAGCCCCTGAGTGAGGTGGATTCCTTCCATGCGGGCTGGGATTGTTCTTTCCTCATCAACGTGATAAGGAAGTAACATTGAATTAAACAACATGACTGAGAACCTCTTGTGCAGCAAAAGTACTCAGTAATAGAAGTACTCATAATAGAAGTACTCAATAAAAAATATTTACAATAGAAGTGCTCAGTAATAGAAGTACTCATAGTAGAAGTACTCGGTAATGGAAGTACTCAGTAACTGCTAATTATTATTATTACACATAAGCTTTTTTTTTAAACATATCTAAAACTCACTCCCTTTGCTCAGTTTTAAGACCAAATGAATATACAACTGTACTCCCTTTTCCAAACCTTGATCTCTGGAAGACAGAATCCACATAGGAAGCTGAGTCACCAGCACCATGTAATGACTCCAAAATCAAGGAAACTTCCAGAATAGAATCTATAACATGAAATAGAAAATATCTCTGAAGGTAAGTACAGTTACCTACAGGCCCCCACAGCCCAGCTAGTCTGTCTCCCGACACATCTCTGGCCCTGGGGATATCCTGTCATCCTCACAGTGATCATCTGGTTTCTTCCACACAGTGGTCAGAAGCAAAACCCTAAGAGGTGCTAGGGGACATCTGCAAGGGACAAAACAGCCGCTGATGATTTCATTGCCAAATTTTTCAAAAGCACCTCCCAGTAGGAAGAGCCAGCCCTATTCACTGGGTGAAGGAATCATTAAATAATAGATTATCATCTTCGAATAAGGCAGAAAATTGTATAATATGTTAGAAAACCCTTCCTCCAAACAGTGAATACCCTGGAGGCAACACATTTCAGTTATTTGGAGAGAACTACTTATGTGTAATTATTCATCATTATGATTCTTACTATTTAGTAACACGGAATCTGGTTCAACTTTCTTAACCGCCTCCTTGCACATTCCTCCTAACTGTCTTCTCCTCCCCTCTCCAAACCAGGGCCCATCCCCAGCTGCCCAAGCACACCAGTGGCCCAGAACTTTCTCAGCTTGAACGCAACCTGTGGTGCTCCCTAGAAAGCCCCTCTGCTCCAGGCAAAGCAGAGCAGCCGGCCCCTCACTGCAGAGCCAGGGGACCAGCCGTCCCACCAACCTTGCCGGGCAAGCACTGCCTTGTAATTCTTTCTGTAAGTCTGTAAGTGAAGACAACAATCCTTTTTTTTTTTTTTAATTTTATTTAAAGATTTATTTATTTATACAAGCAATGGGTACAGACAGAAGCGCGGGAGGGTGAGAGAATTCACCAGAGCCAGAGCAGGGAGCAGAGCAGGTGGAAGGACCGAAGTACACTGCTGAGGGGAGCAGTGGGCGGCAGGAGAGATCTGCGTGCCATGTGGGACCCTCCTCCGGTGGCCGGGGAGCAGCCGGGAATCGAACCGGCACTGCAGAGGCTGCGGGCAGCTTCGCAACCCAGCGCTCAACCGCTGCGCCACCAGGGGAGGCCCAAGACAACAATCCTTGCCAAGTGGTTTAGATCCTCAGATCACTGGGCCCATGATCTGAACTATTTTGAGAAAAACACTCTGGAGTCTTGAAACCTGCTAGTCATGGGCTTGGTTTTTACTTTCCTGAAAGTCTACAGAGCTAGGTATTTATTAAAATTTGGGAAAGTAAATCCAATTGATTTTATCAGTTTTGCCAGCTCTGAAATGAAAACTTTTAGAGGGAGATTTGTTTTCTTCCTTGCAAGTGTTTTCAGAAGCCTTGCCACCTAAAAGGCTAGAATTTAGAGGCTTAGTTGGACAGTCACTGCGCAAAGGTCTAAGCAGATCTGAAACTCTACCCTTCTTTTCTTTCTCTATTTCTCTTTAATTAAAAAAAATTAGGCAGAGGTGTGAGGCCCATGCAACTCAACTCACCGCTCCAGTTACCACTGCCTCGTTTGCTTCATCATACCCATTGCCTGGAGGATCTAGTTGCAAGCTGGCTGCCTCCCCCAGAAAGCAGGCACAAGTGTGCCGTGTGGTAGGATGCTGCAGTTTGGTTCGTAACAGAGCTTTGTGGTTTCACCTCAAGACAGGCCCAAGCAATTCCTACTTAATTGAAATTAATCTGAACTTTGAAATTTACCCAAATCCCACAACCAATGTTGAAATTTGTAATTAGTCCACCCTTGGTGAGTTGTTCCCTCTCTCCAAGAACTACAGGAGGAATTGTGGGCAGGTTTTAAGGGAGGCCTGGGATCCTGTGCTCAAGAGGCATCTGATCCCAGCCAGAGAAAAAGACTGTATTGTCATCACCTGGGAGAATCTGAGCTGAGAAGCAGAAAGGTCTTAGTGCCAATGGTGAATGGCCAGATGGAAGGGTAGAACAAGGATAAAAAGTAGAGCCCAGTGCTGAGTAACCTGACCCCAGCCACCTCCTCCCAGCTGGGTGGGCCTGCATCCCATCCTCAGTCTCTGTGGGCCTCAGTTTTCTCACTTCTTAATGGAGGTAATAAGTGCCCACACCATTAAATGATTTAACACTAATAAGGAACCTAGAGTCACACTTGAAATACTGTGTCATTGAGTATTTGCTACCAAAAAAATACTAAGAAGTGAACCTTAAATCAGAACAGCCATTTGTTCCTTATTTCCAATCTTGAAAATAACTTAGACCAAATTTGCTAGAGGAAGTGGCATTTTCCCTGAGACCACATCTTGGTCTAGAGCGTGGCCGGAAGAGACAGCTTAGTGGGTTAAACTGGGTCTAGAGGCAGATAAACCCTGAATTCCTAGCCTACCTCAGTGATGCACTGGCTTTAAAACAGTGTTTCTTCATCTAGAGCAGAGGTTAAGTTCAGGTTCACAAGCCCAATTGGGTCCACCCTCTGCAGTTCAAAGTTGTGCGGTAACAACAGCCACACCTTTTGTTTTCCCATTACCTGCAGTCGCTTTGCTGCTAGGAGCAGAGTTCCTTAGGGGAGGTCAAGACTATTGGGCAGAGCCAAAAATACTTCATGTTTAAAACGCATCTGTGAGCCACTGATCTAGCATACGAGAACAGTAATATTCTGATTTGCTTTCCAGGGGATGAGAAAAGATAATACATAAGGCAGAACCCATAGTCTAAACTCAATAAGGAGTAACTATTAACATTAACAGAGAAGCAAACTAAACCTTGGTTTTATTTGTTTTGCTTAGCTCGGTTTGCTTGCTTCTGGGCCCTTTCTATTCTTTCTACCTAAGGCCTTTCTGTCCCAAAGCAAAATATGAGCTTGACTTCCTCTAACTTGGATTAAACTAATCTGCCACACACTGCACCTGCCCGTTGAGGCCATTTCTATAGCTCTATTCATCCAAAAGACCAGGGTTTATGTCCTATTGTTTGGGAACATTTGCTTTGCATTTCAATGATTTTAATCATGCAGGAAGCACAAGGATTCTGGCACCGATTTGTTTCCAATTTTTAATTTTTTATTTAGAAATAATAAAATAAGACATAATATATAAAAATATGTACAATCCATGGTTTGTGCAGTACAATAGGAAGACTTTTAGGTACAAAAAAGACGGCAAACGGGAAAAGAACCAGCACGATTGTCAAAGACCAGGATTTTTTCACTGGCCAGAAACCAGAGCTTCACCAGAGCTCGAGAGGAGAGTCTAGGTGGGAGGGCGAGGGACTATGCAACACTTTTTTTTTTTCACTTTAACATTATTAGACACAGAGTGAAAAAGAGCTCACTCGACTTCTCAGAACAAGTTTTCTGCCTTCACCGAGAGACTTATGATAAAATACGAACTGACATTGATTACTTGCAAGGGTTAACATATTCGGGGAACAGAGTTCAAATAAACATCCGAGTTTGGGATGGGAGGTGATCAAGAAGAAAGGTGGTGAAGGGAGAAACGATGCAGTAATAGAATTCCAAAACAAAAGTCAAAACAAACTTTCTCCAGGAATTTGGAAATGACTACAGTGCTATAGCGACATCCTTAAATGTCTGATTCAAGTATACTCTTAGAGGGATAGAAAACTATTCCTTTCTCTATAATCAAAATAGAATTCACTTTGTCTACCTTTTATTTAAAAATAGGGTAATGGGGAATCTTTGCCTCCTCCCAAAAATAGACTGCCTATCCGGAGATGGGCAAGAATTCTTTAAAAGGGAATAATTTCTAAGTAAATTCAGTGGGATGTGCTTGCAACAGTGAAGCATCACGTATCTGGGAATAAAAATCAACCCCAGGGATGTCTGGAGAGTCTCTCAATCTGGATTCTGATGACATGTGTGCGCGAATTAAGGAGACCCTGTTAACAGGGCAAATGTTTTGAAGGTAAAATGCAGGGGAAAAAAAAAAAAAAAAAAGGTGTGCATTACCTGTGTCTTGGCTCTTGACAAAACAAACAAAAAAAAATTGCCATTTAAAGCTCGTAACTGTTAAAATACTAATAGCTAGAAAAAAGCTTTCAAATGAACAGTCCATGCTGAAATAAATAACAGAAGAACATTACAATACGAACCTTATAAGGCTGGTAAATATGTGCTAAAACCATGCTAACCGGTAGCATATAGGTACTAGCTCTCAGAAATTGCTGCACTGAAATTAGACTTTCTATGGCAATTTTTTTTTCCTTTACAGTCTTCTATTTACATTTGGCTTTAAATATGAAAATATCTGATAAACTTTATAAAATGTACACTTTAAAAACATAGCTTCTGCAAAATTTTCTTGAAAAAAAAAAAAACAAACCTGTGCACCAGAAATTTTAATTTTTTTCCACTTTTTCAGAAAATTGAAAGATTGCCCTCCCTCATTCCTGCCCCTGCACCCCAATCCCTTTCAAATATCTCAAGTCTTTTTGAGTGGTAGTGAGGTGTTTTTGGGAGGAGCCTTCTCTGTGGTCACCCCCAATCTCCACTGCATCTTCATTTAATTTTCCTATCACTGAATACTCTTTGGTTTGATTATTTTCCTTTGCAAAATATCGAAATAGCAGCAGCTGAAGCCCTCGACACCCTCTCACTGTGAACAGCAAATTGTTGCCTCGTCTGTCAGTTCTCTGATCCATTCGATTCCAATTCCTCTGACTCTCTGAACAACTTCCTAAACCTGCCTTAAGATTTAGATTTAAAATATCGCCCCTTTGCTTGGCATCTCGGTGTCCATGAATATCACCCCAGAGTTTTCAGACCATCAACTTTGAAGGTTGAGAACAGCAGGAACTGTCAGATCAATGCAGGCACCACATTCAGTTATGGCTGTTCAAGAACCAGAGGCCGTCACAAACATCAGATTACAAAATACATGATTCTAGAACAAGCTGTTTTTTAATGGCATACAGGGATATAATACCATAAAAGAGTTGATTTTGAGACTCCAATTCAAAAGAAAGAAAAGTCAGTAGCCCCAGAATTCACAAATAGGGGAACTTTAAACCCCTAAGAGCTCCGTTATTGAGCTAGAGCAGACAAAAAAAAAAAATGTTTCTAGCAAGTTAGGCGGCCAGGCAGAAGAGGATTCTGGAAAACATGTTCTTAGCAACCTGCACTAGATAGGGCGACAAAGACCAGCCAGGGTTCAATCATCAGTGTGCAAACAGAAAGGGGAGAGACCCCTTTTTCCATCATCATCAGCTTTACCTGTCACTGTTTTCTAATTTCCTGGCTCTCCTTGATCCTAAAATACTGAGACATTTTCATCCCTACCTTCTACTGTTAAAAACACAACTTTTCTCTCCCTCCTGAATACTTGAGCTGATCAGGTGCCACAACAGTGTGGTGTGCCCCATCTCACCATCCTTCCCCACTTTGGCATCTGCAAGCCCCTCAGACACACTTGCCAGTCTCACTCCAAGACAGACCGATCAGCACAAACAGCCACAAGGCCAGAGCAGTGTCTCTTCTAAGGTGAAGTCAAGCTGGAAAGTGATCTGATCGGCAGGGCCAGGAGCTTGGTTCCCAGGATCTAAGCCTATTTCTCCCTCCTGCTGGATGGCTCCGTTTCGAGGTGCTGAGTAAATTCACCCGAGGTCTTATCTTAAGGAATACATTTTGGAATGTGCAAAAAAACAAAAAAAGAGGGGTGCATCTGAAAGAACATCACCCTCCCTCACTTACGCTGGAGCCTGGTCAGCATTACTAGCCAAAAAGATGTTTACATTGTGCCTGTGTGTGCAAATGTGACTTCCCCTTCCTTCTTCTATAACACAAAAGTTACATGACAGAACAAAATTTTCAAACCACTACACTTACTAGACTGTGTGCCTGATGTTGTATTTTCTGAATAAGGTGCAAGAGGAGAGGGTAGTTCAAGGTCACGCTGAGGTTCAAGGTTATTGTCTCTTGATTTCAAGGCAGCCCCATAGGGCCTTCCTTCCTTTTTAGTGTAAGCTCCACTGTGCAAAAATGTGCATTATCTTTGGTATTTATTTTTAGGTAGTCTAACTTAAAATTTGAGATAACCCATTAACATCATAGGGTGGGGGGGACCAACAACAACAACCCAGAGGCTACTATTTGGCTAGAGTTACATAATGCCCTTATGTAACCAGAGAGAGAGAGAGAGAGAGAGAGAGAGAGAGAGAGAGAGAGAGAGAGAGAGAGAGAGAGAGAGAATCAATTCTAGCAAACAAATTACTGGCCTCAAAAAATCAGGCTCTCATTTTGGCAGCTAATAGCCAAATACTTGCCACTTTGCAGCGCGTATCATGAGCTTTCAACAAAGTTCAACACTGACTTTTAAATTACACGAAAGAAAAACTACACTGCAACAAAAATACAATCTGTGTTCATGTAGTTAGCAGCTTTTCAAAAATTAAGGCAGAGTCTTGCCTTTGTTATGCCATTAAAAACATTCTTGTTCCTAAAGAGAAGCATTCTGAAGTGAAATACCCCACCAAGGCTTGCCTGCAAGTTCAAGTTTTGTAAAAACACAAAACGAGACATGAAAAAACCCCATAACTTATTCTACAACATCTATGTGCCATCAGGTCACGGGGAGGCGTGTGGAGGGCTTTCTTTGAGCTCACAGTCTTTGTCTGACACCACAGTGCCAGCCTCGGGACCTCGCCCTCACTTGCCTAGACCCACCTGTTCACCAGTACCGTCGTCTGAATAACTGTTCTGGGCCTTTGACCAACAGACTGTGTTGAAAGTAAATATTCCAGAGGAGGAATCAGCCAGTCATATCTCCGACTCTCGCCGTAAAGGCCTGGGTTCTAGAGGTATGCTTGCCTGGTTGTGAAGGTCTATGTCAGGGGGGGTGTCCGTACTGGTGCTTTCTGGAACCCCGTTTTCACTGTCATCTTCCTCTTTGCTAGTGAGAGCGACTTCATTTTCATAGCAAAATGAATTTGCATTGGAGAGGATATATTTCTTCTCTGCTAAGTCTCTGGCGCTGCAGAGAGGGGTGTTGGGGACTTCATACGTCTTGTGGAACCTGGAATAGTCTACTTTGTAGTAGTGTTTCTCCTCAAAGAGTACAGGCTCATAGCGGTGGCCCCAGAGGATTTCATTTGCCAGGTAGGAGCTACGACACTGGGTTGTCATGGCGGTAGCTTCCACCATGCCTTCCAGTATCACCACGATTTCAAAGTCTGCGTTGTCGATGTCCTGTTTACTCAAGTCATACAAAGGACTGTCCTCATCGATTTCATGGACTATCGTGATTGGGGAGACCAGAAAGATACGGTCAATCCCACTGTCAAAGCCAACGTTGATATCTATCTGGTCCAGGGGGATGTACTCCCCTTCGGAGGTGATTCTGGATTTGAGGAGCTGGGCTCGAACGTGAGCTTCCACCAAGTGGCTCTTCCGCAGGTTGCCCACTCGCCACATCAGGCACAGCTTGCCATCTCTCATGGCGATGACAGCATTGTGACTGAAGACAAGAGTCTCGTTTCTCTTCTTGGGCTTGGCCATCTTGGCCATGACGGCGCCGATGATAAAGGCGTCGATGATGCAGCCCACGATGGACTGGAACACCACCATGAACACGGCGATGGGGCACTCGTCCGTGACACACCTGAAGCCGTAGCCGATGGTGGTCTGGGTCTCAATGGAGAAAAGGAAGGCAGCCGTGAAGCTGTTGACCTCAGACACACAGGCCTTGCTGTCTTTAGATGCATCCAGATCTCCATGGAGCAGAGCTATCAACCAAAACACACAACCAAAAAACAGCCAGGAGAGCACAAAGGCCAGGCAGAAGATAACCAGCATCCACCGCCAGCGGATGTCCACGCAGGTGGTGAAGATGTCAGCCAGGTACCGCTGTCCCTTCTCGCCCACGTTGATGAACTGCACGTTGCAGTGGCCGTCTTTCTTGACGAAGCGGCTCCTGCACTGCTGCCGAGTGTGGACTTGACTCTTGCCGTTGCCAAAGCCATTTGCCACTGCCATGGTGGCCAGTTTCATACCGTCTTCTTCTGAAGACACGATGCTGTAGCGGTTGGTTCGCACGCTGCCCATCGCTTCTGCTGTGGACGCCAGTGCTGCTTCTGCTTTGGAAAACAGTCTGAGTTTTTGCAAAACCCTTTGGAGAAACAGTTTTGAATGTTCAGTGAGGACACACACCAAAAAAAACGAGCAGAGATGGGGATCTCCGAGAGCCTTGAGGTTCTAGCAAGGTCTGCCTATGACATGCAGGGTTAGCTCAGTAACTCAGCTGACATCCAGAGAGCATGTCCTGCAAGAAAAGAAAGTTCACTCATTACAAAAGAACTCACTGGTCAAGGGCTCTGCTCTCTCAGCATCGCTTCCTAATAAGATGTGGAGTCAGATATAAAAATGCATGGAGCAGAGAATTTCACTCCTTCAGACCTTAAACAATCTTTCTTATTTTTATTCAAAAGCATGATATCATTAAACACAGAAGAATCAGTTGGCTGTGCCAGTCTTTCAACCAAAAGCTCACGTCCCTTTTCCCCTATTTTTGGCCAGTGATCTAGAATATTCTGCTTTGCAGGTCTACGCCTTCCCTTTCTTCTCTTATTCTCTTCGTGTATCTTCCCTACTAGCCAGGTTCCCACATTATCAAGCAGAAGAAAGACTTTGTAACTCCGGCCTTGGGCAGGAAGCTTCGAGCACTCAGACCTGTGCTGGGAATGACCCGTGTGTGAACATCACAGTCCTGAACTGCAGGTGCATTATGGGAGATTATTAAGTGTTCTTGATAACATGGATGAAGTCAGAAGGCACGGGCTATTTTGCTGAGATGATAAAACTGAGCAGGCAGCCCTTATACTTTCCTGAAATGGATCCCAGTTTCTGGAGACAGTTTGGGCTGGCTCCATTCCTTTACACACGTTAAGCAGCCGCTCTGCAGAAATACCCGATAACATCTCTGTTAGCACAAGTGACTCTGACTTGAAGATGCAGGTTTGCTCTGGGGGGTAGAGAGTGACTCTGTTGCCTAGCAATGAGAGTCCTGAAATTCTCCGGAGATGGGATTGCCATGTGTAATGACAGGCTAGGAAGTAAGCACCTTTGTGCCCAAGGACCAGGTCTTTAGCGGATTGAGATAAGGCAGGAACTCATTTTATGTGGATCTAATTCTGTGTTTTCCCAAACAGAGACAACTTTGTAGGGACAGATCGTAAATGTCTGTCAGCTTACTTTCACTGCCAGGGCTATTGTTTGCTATATGTTCCTATGGAGAAGGCACTCACCTTAACTTAATGTGAACAAATAATCCTGTTCAGCGTTCTCCCTTTGCCTTACTCTCCCCTAGGTAAAAACTATTTATTTTCACTTTCCATCTTTGCTCCAAAGAAACTATTGTTTTTTTCTTTAACTAACCCACAATAGCTTAAGAGAAAGGTGTGTTCGTTACCAAATAAACGCCAACAGAGCTAATCTAGCACAGATCTAAAAAGCAACTTTTCAAACAACCCAGTTGAGCTCCAGTATTCAAGGGGCACAGCCACCAACAGATGGGAAGTCTGAAACTTGTTGAAGGCCTGAGCAGGAAGGTTGCATATTTTCTTTCTTCCCCAATCCCAAAGACATTAAGATTGAGCAGTTCACAGAACCTGAGGCAGACAAACCAAGAATAAACAAATAAAGCAACCCATGTATCTTATTTTTGTGCACCCTCTTCAAGAGAGGCAAGGTGCATTGTCTTGGAAAATGCCTTGCTAGTCTTTTTACTTCTCCTTCTTTATCCAAGTTATTATGCAAGAATGTGCCCCAACACATTTTCCTGAGATTAGTCATCTGTGAAAATTGCAATGTGTGTTACATTTTGGCAGCTTTTGACACCTAAATGATGCCCGATTTGAAAGTGCCTTTGAATTACTTTATAAAAAGAAGTTACTGTACCTTCCCAGCCTTCCACCTGCTTCAATGTTTTGTCTGCTTCCCTGGGAAGTCTGTTCTTGGACACAAGAAACAAGACTCCTATTCCTCAGGGTTCTAGATTCCGGACATGGAAAGAATTCTTTTACCAGTGATTTCAGCTTCCTTGACTCATCTGAAATTGCCAAGCATTTCTACACAAAAGGAGCTAGTGATAACAGCACAGAACCAAATGCAGGTATAAGTTCCAAAACAGGAAGGTGAGCTTCATCTAAGTAGTGCTTGTATCCTGGGTTCTAATTGACTTCAGAATCTTATATGCTGACACTAAGAAATTCACTTTTCATGAATCAAAACAATCCTTCCATCTGAGTTACTGTTAGGGCCATGAGTAGACAGTCTCAAATTTCTTCTGCCTTATTTCTGCACTCTTTCCAGATTAAAGCATAACAACCACGTGGAATTTAAAGACAGAACTATGGCTTTCCAAAAAGCTTGTCCCCGAGACATTAGTATGAATTCCATAAAACATACAATAGCAGTTTCCTATGGACAGCTCTCTGCATTTACAGCCTTGAAGGTAGTCTGCATGGAGTGACTATTCTGGTCTTACTTTCATCGCTAAGGACAAAATTTGGTCCACATATGCATTATCATAGAGTTATTTGGCCGTTTCGGCCTGGAAAGAGGGAAAAAGATTTTTTTTTTTTTTCGGTGAAATCAAATTTTCATCATCTCAGACAGAATTATGCACACACATTATGGGTGTTTAGACTTCCATGAAGCTGATTACACAGCAAAAATCTAGAATGTGTCAAGGTTTGTGAGGGTAATTGTCTTAATATTTCATTATCAAGGATGCTGTCCTATCAACCTGCCCGCAGGCCTGACTGCCATCAGGCTAGCAGAAATCACTTCACCTGCTCTTCTTCCACCAAAATTAATGAGTACCTGGGAGAAACTTTCATGAAGAATCAGGCTTTCATGCAACTTTATTTTAGGCTAATATTCACAATAATTTTTTGAGAAACATTGGCTCAAAGTGGGTGAGAACATTCAATGATTTGACTCCTTGATGGGTACGATTAGGAGATTTTTGAGATTTGACTTCAAGGCCAGCATGTAAATTCCCCTTTCAGCAAAATATGTAAGGGTCTGATGTAAATTTATTAGACACAAATAATTATCTTACCCAGGCTGTAACCAATGATGTACAAAGTATTTCTGGGAAATTGAAAGGCTACATGTGGTGCTGTTCATGTTAATTCTATTTATAGGCTGAGCCAAATTTAAGCATAAGCAATGGGAAAAAAAATAGTTCAGCGCTTCAATCGTAGGTAGATGTTGAAGGAGCACCAGCTATGGTTAAAACCAGGGTCAAAGGACAACATGCTGTAGAATGAGCAAATCGACTTTGTTTTTACCATAAGGGAATGATTTCTGACATGGATCATTCAAAACCCAGAAAGATGTAATTGTGACGAAGATATGGGAGTAAAATGTGGTCCATCATATTGTGCATGGTGCATGGTACACGGTGAATTAAGAGATTTTCTACCTAAGGAAAGGACATAAAGACAGCACGAGAAATTATGCTGGGCAGAGGGATGCCCGCTAATGAGTGTTCAGAGCAGCTATTCCCCAGCTGACGCCATACAGACCAGGGTGAGTGTGCTCTGGGCACATGTTGCTATGTGAGCCCAACTACTAGCAAAGCAACCTCTTGGAAGCTCAGTAAACACAAGGAGGGGGGAGGGGAGTTAATGGAGTAGAGAGGATGCCCCTTCATCTACGTGGATGTGGGCACTATTGATAAAATGTTTATAGCAATGCAGGTAGCGTTGCTCACATTTGCAAATGATGAAAAAAAATATTTATCTGCTAAACAAAAATACACACACACACACAAATTGAAACTGTCAATCTGTTCAGGTAAAGATGTGGTCAATCTTTCCTGCTTCTCAAAAGTCATTCAAGGACTCACAGCTAACTGGAGATTCTACAACTGCAGCCACTGAAGTAGAAATACTGGGTGCTTAAAAAAGGGGGGGGGTGCAAATTCACAAGAGATGAGAGCAAATATTCTATGGATACCAACAACATAAGAAAAAGTGCCAACAAAATATGAAGGGAGGGGCTGAAGCAAAGTGAAAGGACCTTGACCTCTTCACCTTGAAGTCACATCTCTTGCTCCTGAGACTTGAGCTTTTTTTTTTTTTTTTTTTTTTTTTTGGATAATGGCAAATATACTTAGAACACTTTAGGAGGTGAGCAGGAAAAAGCTAGAGGAGCCCAGGTAATAGATAGCAGGAGGTCTGACAGCCAACAGATTAAGCATGTGGAAAGGAAACAATATGCATTTTCTGCATATCCAAAACAGGCTCCAGATGATATCGTCTTTCCTGACAGGTAAACGCAGAGTTTATGGAAATGCCCAGCATTCACAGCCGCACCCTCGCTCCCATCCCACTGATAAGCTCATGCGGACACAGACATGAAACTGTCCATTTCCTATCTCTTAACAGTCACGATGAGTCTATGTTATGATGCAATCTTTTTTTGCAGAATCAAGTCGTTTTTTCACCGCTGCGCTTCCCTAAAATCACCCTGTCTTTACTTCAGGCATGAAAACTTCATAATAATCATTACGAAGAACAACAAGCTGCTGAAGGGAGAGTGACATCTGATGGGAAAGTTTTGCAGTCTGCAGGCTCCCATCCAACTCGGGGTGCCCCTCTGTTCCCCAGCAAAGCAACTTTCAGACGCTCGCTTTGCAACTCAAAGCTATACTCGAAGCAATGACAAAGGAAGAAAAAAAATCAAAAGACGCCAAGGATCAGGCGGGTACCGAGTCCCGAGGTTTGCCAAGGTTTAAGACCAAGTCTTCCAGACGCGCTCTCCCCCCGCGCCTCCCTCCCACACAGTTGCTTCTCCCCCTCCTTAGAAGGAGAATCGAACGCAGGCTCCCTCACCCTCTAAACTAGTATCTCGCTACAGCTGGTGCATTGGAAGTTATGAGCACAAACAGATGCTGCAGAGAAATCTGTTTCTATTGCTCAACTGTTCCAAGCATGTCTCAGTATTTTTAGCTCTGGGGATGTTCTGGTGCGCACACAAACTCTATAGGCAAGCTCTGGGACTCCCGGGCGTGGGCGAGCGCTCCAGCAGCGTGACAGCTGGGCACCGCTGGAGCCGCGGGGTTAGGGCAGGAGCCGGCACCACCGCCCGCGTCCACTCCCGGGACCCACAGGCAGCGGGAGCCAAGCAGAGGCAAAACACACACCAGCGCTTACCTGCCGCGGGCGCCGTCGCCTGGGCGCATGGAGTGGAAGTCGGGGGTCCAGAGGCAGGTAAGATCCAGCGGTTCGTGGGAGCCGGCGAGCCACTGCACAGCAGAATTCCCAAGACCCAGCTGGCGGACGCCGGCGACGGCTGCGCGCTGGCCAGGGCTCCAGTGCGCTCTGCGCTATCCTGGGCTCTTTTGAGGCGGTCCACGAGACACCGGCCCGCCTGGCCCCGCCCCGGCCCGCTGCCGGCCAATCGGGGCGCGCCTGGCTCGCCCCGGCCCCGGGAGCCGGCGGAGGGGGGCGGGGGATGCTGCGCCCGCGGCCGCGGCGCTGCCCGCGCGGAGAACCTGCAGCCGCTGCCTCCCCTCCGCCCGCCCCGCCGGCCCCGGAGCGCGCCCCGGGCGCGGGGCGGGGGGACGCGGCGCCCGGCGGGGCCAGCAGCAGGTGGGAGGGCAGCGGCCGGGCCCCCGCGGCCGCCCCAGGGCCGCCTGGCCGTGCGCAAAGCTTCCTCCCGCGCTCCGAGCCGCTCGCACTTCCCGCTCCGCTCCCCGGCGGCGCCCGTGCGCGTCTGCGGGGGGCCCGGGCCGGGGCGCAGCGCGTCCAGCCGGCGAGGGCTGCGCTCCAGCCCGGGCGCGTCTCCCCGGCCCGCGCCCCGCGCCCCCGGCACGGCCCGCCGTGCGCCCCGGAGCCGCGAGTTATTGGGGAAGGGGACGCGGACCTGCGCGCGGGGCCCTGCGGGATGGAGACGCGCGCCCGGGTGGCCACTGCTGGGCCGCTCGACTCTTTTTTAATTTTTTTTCTCCCCCCTCCCCAATGTTCCTGAACTACTTACAAAGCGTGAAAGGCTCCTTCCCTCTGGCGGTGTCCGCCTGCGAGCTTTTTCTCCACCACCGCCCGGCACGCTCTGCTGATCTAAAATCAGCGCAATTAGAGAGCAATGAATTCTCTGGAACAGCAACTCCTACAGACACTCAGCGCTGCCCTCGCACCAGCGCCTCCCAACACGCTTTCCCAGCAACCAGGCAAGAGCATGGCGACCCTTGCAAACCTGTCAACTTCCATGTGGACCTGGTCTGGACCCTGGAACTTTATCCGTGTGTACGTGTGTGTGTGTGTGTGTGTGTGTGTGTGTGCGCGCGTGCATGCATGGAGGAGTAAGTGCGTCTAGAGCTGAGGACTTTGGTGTTATAATGCAAACTTTTCTTAAAGGACAGGACACAGTTAGGAGACTTGCAGAGCTGGGAATCCGCCTGGGTGTGTTTTTAACTTTTATTTTCGCCACCGACCAAATGCATCTTTCGTGCAATTTGAACCTTTAAAAGGCCTCCTTAAGTCGCCAAACGAGCTCCTGTCGGGAGGCACAGCGGGGTGGGTTTCTGTGCGCAGGCGAGGTGAAGCCCGGGATACCAGGCGAGGTCCGCTCCGGTACCCACGTCCTGGCCTCATACCCTCACATCACCCCTAGGAGGTGCTGGTGAAATGCGCTTGGTTTTGCAGATGCAGACTTTAAGCCTGCGTTCGTTAAGGAGCCTCTTTTCTCAGTCCTGAACTCGACACTGGAATGAAAAGGGGGTGCAGTAAGCTGCGCAGGAGCTCTGGCGTCTCTTATAGCCAAAAGCATTGCTCTGCGCCTGCCTGTGCTGAGATTATAGCGCACGCCAATCCCTGGTACTGGCTTGCCCTTGAGAGAGCTGCAGTGGTAATGCATCGCCTACAAGAGAGACTTAGTACTTTAATATGTACAAAGTTGTGTATTATTTATAAACAGCTTGAATTAACTGCGAGCTACATGGATGCACAGGAAGCCAGGCTGCAGTCTGAAACTGAAAGAAGTTGAACATAGCTGACTTTTTAGACCAAGGACAGAGAATAAGAGCTGGCTTCTTTGCAAAGAGCTGCTCCTGAAATGTCTTTCCTCATGGATTTCTTCTAAGAAACAAGCCCTACCAAGACTGACTAGGAAGAGGAAATCAGTGGTTAGGATGTGTTCGCCTCTTTATTGTGATTTAATCTGTGCCTCTGCTAAGAATTTTCCCAACCTCCTGAGGCCAGAGAGGTAACACTTTTTTTTTTCCAGGTAATGAGTTCTTTTTGAAAATTAGTCACCCAAGGGGATGCCATTTTTCTGGAACTTAGGTTGAAATTGTTTCACTTTCATACTCTATTCTAAGTAAATCCAATACACCACAGGCCAAGATAGTTTCATTTGATAGGAAAATATTTAAAGAAATGAACATAAAGTTGTAAGATTAGGGTGGGTTATATAAATCTAGTGATGGGCTGCAGCAAGTATTTATATGTATTCTAGACTTTCTCACCAACATCACACTCACTCCACACCCCCACCCCCAATCTCCTAAGGGATTGATGTGCAGTAAGATTTCTTTCTTGAATCTGATTTTAATAAAATCAGATTCCCAGTAAAATAAAATAAAATCTATTCCCAGTCTGAACAGAATTTTACCTTAATCATTTCTCTAATTAAGGAAACATGAAGAATTAAATTTTGTAAGTGAAACTTGGTAAATGCATGATAGCATTGATTAACTCAATTGCTTCGTCTGATTAAAAAACCCCCATAAATGTGCATATTTAATTAATAAATGGCTTTTTCACCGTGTCCCAATTAGGAAAATTCTAGTGTTCCAAAGCATTCGGTGCTTGGGTAAATATGATTTTTGGAGCTAGGCATGATACAGATTTCTCTAGTCAGAATATATCTTTTTTGGCTGAATCAGTCCTTATTTAGCAAAAATCCCCTTTAGTTTTGGACACCAATGCTGTTGGGTGTTGGGATCCATCTGTGGATTAAATTTTTCCAAGGAAATGACAATTGTGCTCTTACTGATTCCCTCCACGGTAACCACTGATAATATTAGAGCCAAATATTAGTCACAATCTAAATCTGCAGTGAGATTATGAATGGTTATGTGAGGCAGAATGCAATTGTTCCGCTAGGAACACAAATCTTTCCTTTGTACTTAAATAGATACATTTTCCACCTTCCATTAACCATATGTGCAGTCTCACTTCACAATGATAAGACATGAAAAGCTCTTATTATTTGCACCTATTTAGATACTAAGGGGCACTTACTAATCTTCATGATAATAATGATAATAAAAAATAAATAAATGTCAGGTTGATTTGAAGTATAGACAGGATGAGTTTGGTATCTGCTGCTATGAGGTCAAGCCATCCACCATGGTATTTAAAGGCCCTGAATGTAGTCTCATCTATTGGAAAACAGCTCTGACAGTTTCACTAACCACACTGGTAAGATTTAATCTTCATATGAAATTCAATCTGTTTGTTCATACCTAGCTATAGGCTAGGTTTTAGGAGAGACATAGGGCAGTTAGGAGAAACAGTTCCCTGGAAGAATTCACAATCTCTAATTGAGTAGAAAATGCACAAGTCCAATCAGATTGCCACATGATAAGGTAGCTGATGATTAAGGATTAATAATAAATGATTAAATGCTAAAATTAAAAATTATGGAGGTTTTCTGAGGAGTAGAATGAAATGGAATCAAATGTATGGGAAAGACTTCAGATTGGAAGACTTAAGATGCATGAAATATAACCATAGTTTGTTGTGTTAAGGTTGTGGAGAATAAACCAGAAGACAGGGTTACCTTCTCATCCAGCTTATGGTCTAAATACCTGCCAGGCCCCCCAGATCTGTCTGTACACATGCAATCATGTACATACATTACGAGCTGCTTCTAAGAATGCTTTGTTCTTGCTCCATGCCACTGCCTACACACTGTTTCCTCTAAGGCAATGGGATTTATTCCACAAGCCTTTTTTTTTTTGCCGTTTGTCACCACTGGTCCACATGATGCCTTCCTTTTCCGGCATGCCTGGAAGTGCAGCCTCCACTAAATAGCTTCTTTACATAATTGAAATCTGTGTTGATGGGGATTATTTTCTCTGATAGCAATTGTATCCATCCTCAAACTCTCTGGTGGCTCCTGGAGCAGGCTGTCCATGTTTCTCCTATGACATATTTGGAGTGTCGGATGCAAATATTTTTTCCTATGTTTATCTCCATCTACCAGTAATGAGCTCTTCAAAATCCACGGCTGGTCTTTTCTGTCTTTACATTCTCATTGCATCTGGCCAAGTAAATAAATCACTTTCAATGTCAGTTGGATGATGAAACCAGCAAAATATGGAACATGAATTTTAAAAATATAACAACATTCTCTATTATATTGACTTTGGAATGACTCGGTATTGTCATAATAAATCTGAGCTATTTTATTTTCACCTGTGCTAAAAGAACTTACCTATTGGGGTACAGTCAGAATAGCGCCTTCTACATTGACTGACCCTGGACTCAGTTTTTTTTTAAGTCTTCCACTTGTTTTCCCTTTTTCCCCATTGTTGGCAGCTCTCACTTCTCATTTTTGCTTTTGCCTCGTGCTGTGAACTTTTTGGGCTGTTACCAGGCTCTGTGTAATTTGTTGATTCAATCTACAGTTTGAAGTTATGTAACCGAGGTTGTTAAGATATATATATATAGAGAGAGAGATATATATATATAGATATATATATACACATGTACATATATATATACACAAGCAACACAAGCATTTATGATCTAGAGGACTGAAAATGGCTATGTTTTTGATATAGTTTGAGCAGATCCTAAATTCAAAGTTGCCTTGTGGTCAGTTTCCTTTATGGGTAAAGAAGCTTCAGGATATGGACTTAAGGCAACTATTATAGGTTCCTGGAGCACGTGAATGCTTTAGTCCTTGTTTTTGCTCTTTTAACTAGTTGAGGGAGTCCTCTGGTTCAATAAGCTACCTCTGTGTTTGCAAACACACACATGTTTATATGCCTAGGTGCAACAAAACTACATGCTCATTTATTGAGAAACGATTGAGTGCTCACTGGGTCCATTAATATGCCCTTTGTTTTCCATCAAATATGTTAAAACCTAACACTTTGGGGGATTGTTCTTTAAGAGGCTCACCCTTCCAGAGCAGCTAAGTTATTATTTGGTAAATTACTCTTCTGTCATGCTCTGGAAGCCTTAATTTATCTCGTGGGAGAGACAATTACACCCTGGTAATACATCTCTATCTTGGGGTGAGACCCTGTATTGCTGTGGTTCTTAACACCTTGATTACAAAGATCATTT